CTTCTTCTTCTTCTTCTTCTTCTTCTTCTTCTTCTTCTTCTTCTTCTCCTTCTTCTTCTTCTTCTCTCTCTCTCTCTCTCTCTCTGTGTGTGTGAGTGTATGTTTGTCTGTCACTCATCTTTGTCTCTGTCTCATGCCCTCTCTACTCACTCCCTGTCTCCCTCCACAGAACACAACCTGAGTGTCTTCTTTGTTTCACATTTTCACTGTGGCCATGGGAATCATTAACACAGGGCCTCTGAATGATGCTGCAGTGAGTAGCAGAGCACACAGGGATTTCCCTAGGTGAGCTACAAAAATGTCTGGGATTAAAAAGTATAGAGACACCCAGCATCCATCAGGGTCTGGTTCCCTCATACCAAGATTGAAGAAAATGGGAAATTGTCAGCCCTCCCGATCTAGCAGTTCTTTTGATAGAAGGAGCCCCTGTTTATTAGAAGAGACAAGAAAACCTGTGCTGGGTTATGTCAGGGAAACAGCAAGAAAGACATCAAGGGAGAATTTCTGTAGTGCAATGCTGTAAAGCTCTAGATTATTACTTGGATAATAATGATAATTATCGATAATAATTGCCAAGAGCCAATTCTTAGGTGCATTAAAGACTGTCTGACACTGATCCTCACAACACTCCCTCCAAGGAGTCAGACTGGACTAAGGATAGAATCTTGCTCATGTGTTCTTTAATTTATCCTGACAGGTTCTTTCTGATTCTGAGACTCTTATTTCTAGATTTGTATCTCAGCTTTATCATAGGTTCTGAGAGCCCAGACTGACGCTGGTATTAGAGCCAGCAAGGCCCCATTAAATACTTGTCATGTGGTTCAGAGTGAGGATGATCAGGGTGTGGTAAGAGAACTTTCCTCCAACCCTGATGATTCAAGTTCTACTTTCAATCCACACAGTAGGAGAATGTGAACTTACACAAATTGTCCTTCCATCTCCATCTTGAGCCACAGCATGGGATCACCCTCATAATATGAGCACCATAAATAAATAAATGAATAAATGCAAATAAATTAAAATTTTGTTAAGTGAATAAACACCTATGAAGTAGATCTTGGCAGGAGCTGGCCACTAGAGGAGACCCATCATGACAGTGGAGTGGATAGGAGCTGGGGACTTTTAAAACACCAGAATTGCAGTGTGCATTGTTGAAACAAATGTGACCCAAAAGGGAAGGGGATCCATGCAGATCCTGAGATAGTTGTAGGGATCAGGGACCCTGGAAGCAGGCTCAGTAAACTGAGTCTTCAAAGCGCAAGGGAATCTTGAGGTTAAAGATCACTCTCAGAGCTCCTGCATTTGTCTGTCTCTCCTGTGACCACTTGCATGTGACCTACTCACAGAAGGCCTCTGGCTACTCCTGTTAACAGCTTTCTGCCAATGTGTGCGGACAGTGTTCTTGGTATTCCAGAAGAGCTTCAGAATACATGCTGTGTATCTTCAGGAGGCCAAAGAGGCAGCAGAAACAGCAGAGATGGCCATGATAATTGTTCTTAGCTGTCCACATGACCACATCTGGAATCCAGATATGGAGGACACAGTTGCAAGGGTTTTTTGCTTGGCTAGTAGTAGGTCAATTTACTTTTAGTCTGGACATTTGAGGTAGGAAGACTCATGCCTTTGCTCCAGATCTTGAGGCAGGAAGATATACCTTTAATCTGGGCCACGCCTTCTGTAAGCCTATACAAGGAGATGGAAAACAGAAGATTTGGCTCTGTGCCTGCTTGTTCCCGCCTTCCTAGCAAGTCCAGTCCTCACTGGCATTAGAGACGACTTCAGAATTCCAGCATCAACTGAACACTACATGAGACATCCAGCCTTATGGACTGAGCAACTTCTGGATTCTTGAATCCCCGGTCAGTGCCAGCCAGTGTTTAGTTAGCATATAAATTATTCTAGTAAATCCCGTATCTGTATCTGTATCTGTATCTGTATCTGTATCTGTATCTGTATCTGTATCTGTATCTGTATCTGTATCTGTATCTGTATCCCTATTTATATAGGGAGATTCATTCTGTAAGTCCTGCTACTCTAGAGAAGCCTGATTAAGACAGTGGCTTTGCCCTGCCCCCAGCCCATTGGCTCCAGTCACTTCTGACTAATTGGTTGTCCTACAATGAAAACTTGCTCCACCTACATCTTTTTGGTTGAAATTCCTGCCTGGGCAAGGCTCAAAGGTTCTTTTTTCCTGTTTGTGAGGCGTGGTCGTCCTGGCAGCACAGACGGAGGCCTGGGAGCCGACCATGCCCCTGAACCAGCTGCACAGCTGGCTGAAAGCTGGGCTCCTTGGGCTCCTGCTTCTCCTCCTCCGTGTGCAGGGTGAGGCTCCCTAAACAGGCAATGGGGACTGACTGGAGACAGAGCTGCCGATCCTGCATGCCAGAGGCTGGGCTTGTGGGAGGGAAGGGAAGTGGGGGGATGGAGGGAAATGATAGATTAAAGTGTGAGAATACTGTGCCTACCAATTCCTTAACAAAGCCCTCACATGTTGTGGCCCCACTAGCACACAGAGAGTTATAGTTACCTAAGATCACTCCATTATGAGGAGACAGTTCAGTGTAATGAGTTCTGGGAAAATCAGTACACACTTCAAGGAAAAATAAAAGGCATTTTTCCTTTCTTGGTGTATGGCTATGACTGTAACTACCACTGACATTTGGACAATAACAATAATCATGAATTCATGTGCCCAAATGGCTCTGAGTATCTGATCTCTTTGCCAGAGAAAAGCTTTGACAGCCTTCACATGAAAATAGGAAAGGTTCCTGGCCCTGGGGCGTAGGGAAGCTCCCACACTCACACCCCACAGCTGAACTGGGGGGCCCTGGGTTCCCTTCTCCAGTGCTCTGGTAACAATGTGATGGGAATCTTGCATTCATCTGGAAGCTGATTACAGAAAACTAACCCTGATGGCCTCTCTCCAGCAGGTCAAGACTCCTTAGAGGCCAGCCCTATCAGAAAAACATACACAGGCCAGGTTCGAGGAAGCCTCCTTAATGTGAAGGACACTAAAGTTGGTGTCCACACCTTCCTGGGAATTCCCTTTGCCAAGCCTCCTGTAGGACCACTGCGCTTTGCACCTCCTGAGGCCCCTAAACCATGGAGTGGTGTGAGAGATGGGACCTCACATTCAGCCATGTAAGTTCTGGGCCCAGAGGGTTTCATTCACTGGGGTAAGAATGTCCTCTGAACTCTGGGCCACTCTCAAGTGTTTCTCCATCTCAGCTACACAGCAGTTTTCTCTCCTTGTGGGGAGTGTCCCATCCAGTTTTCTGATGATATGCTAAAACTGAGTAGAACAAATGTGCCGGGCTCCTGGATCAGAGCTTGGCACTCAAGGAGTTAGATGCAGGTACTATTGAGAAGAACAAAGATAAAATTGCTCACAGATTCAAATTAAGCCCAGTGTTCCCTGCCAAAGTAGGAGGCATCTCTAGGCATGAGGTAATGTAACCTCTTAAGCAGCAAGCACTCCTGAATCCAGTAGAAGAAACTTCAGGTCCCTGACGAATTCAGCACTGATGAGTACACGCTAACCCCACCCTAACAGTCTGTGCCAATCAACAGGGCCAAGTGCCACCAGGAAATCAGGTTCCACCCCAGCTTTCAGGGAGCCTCTGGCCTTTACCTTGGTTGAAAGAGATTTAGAGAAGGAATATGTGTGATTAGGGCATTGTGAAGGCAGCAGCTGAAGGCAGACAAGAAAAAAGAAAAACAATCCATACTCGTATTTGGTTTTGATCACCATCCATCTCTTGGAATAACTGTCTCCTCTTTTCACCAGTTGTCTGCAAAATGTTATGATGAATGTGGAGGGACTGAAGGAGATGACTCTAACCCTCCCTCCCCTCTCTATGTCTGAGGACTGCCTGTACCTCAACATCTATGCACCAGCTCATGCCCATGAGGGCTCTAACCTGCCTGTGAGTCTCGGCTTTTTTTTTTTTTTTCAGTATGACTAGAAGGGACAAAAGCAACCTAAGCTCCACTGCAGGGTGAACTCTGATAATGAGTCTTACCTTATTTGGGTCAAAGAAGGCCTTTTCAGCCACACTATGCCACTGAAACCTGGGTATGGGACACAGAGCACTGGAGCATTGAGCAATAAAAGTCTCCAGTTCTTTGATAAAACCTGGGTTCATTATAGAACTCGAGCCCTGATGAACTGCTTAGGTGCTGAGGACCCCAATACTGAGGTCACCCAGATTTCTGCTTTTGGATTACTATTGTGACAATAAGATTTGATTATCCTTTCTATCTTTAATCCAGAGAGATGTCCATGGAGACACCCCTCTTTTTTTCACTGAGTAATGATGACATTAATTTAAACTGAGGCACATGGTGGGGATACGGACAAGAAATATACTGATAAGGCATCTGGAGGTCCCTGGCTATGGCCAAGGCCCCGAAGTCCTGGGGATTTTTTATATGTTTCTGTAGCTGCACAGGGAAACAGCAGTTGATATTGTAGTAAGCAAACCAGAAGAGCTTGGACAAGCTCGGAGCTTCCTGGCATCTCTCTTGACTTTTCCAGGTGATGGTGTGGATCCATGGTGGTGCTCTGGTTATGGGCATGGCTTCCATGTATGATGGATCCACACTGGCAGCCGTTGAGGATGTGGTGGTGGTCACTATCCAGTACCGTCTGGGTGTCCCGGGCTTCTTCAGGTGAGCATGGGGCTGTGCTGGACAATGGTACCCGAGAAGATCCTAGACACCCTGTGATCCCTGTCTCTTTCACTTCTCAGCACTGGGGACCAGCACGCCAAAGGCAACTGGGGCTTCTTAGACCAAGTGGCCGCCCTACGCTGGGTCCAGCAGAACATCGCCCACTTTGGAGGCAACCCTGACAGGGTCACTATTTTTGGCGAGTCAGCAGGTGGTGTCAGTGTGTCCTCACATGTTGTGTCCCCCATGTCCCAAGGACTCTTCCACGGTGCCATCATGGAGAGTGGGGTGGCTTTGTTGCCTGGTATGGTATCCAGCTCCTCTGAGGACGTTTACCAAGTGAGTGCCCCCAAGTATTTCAATCCTGTATCTATTGCCACAGTACTATTCTCTGGCACTCTGGTGGTCAGTGTAGAAAACAAAGATCTAGGGAAATGACACCTCAAGGGCTCGAGTATTAGAATCCACACCTCTCCTTTAATACAGGATGAGTATGTGATGCAGACAGCAAAGCTACCCTTAGCAATTTCCATCTTTGGCAAAAAAAATGAGTATGTATGGGCTTGGAGCTCCTTCACTGGTTTTTGAAAGTACTTGGAGTAAAAGGTTGAGGACTTATGCTCAAATCTCCAGAACTCATAAAACACTGGGGATAGTAACATGTATCTGTAATTTTAATGTTCCTATGGTCGGGTGGGAGGCAGAGACAAGAGACTCCTTGGATGTTTGCAGACAGGCTTATTAGTAGGCAGCAACAAAACAAAAGACGCCCTGTCAAATAAAGGGGACAACGAAGACTGAGGCTTTGTCCTCTAATCTTCGCATACAAACCTTGGCACACTTACTCCATCCCTCGCATATGAAACAGAGAAAGGTGGGTGAAGAAAACAAAACTAACCTAACAGAAAGAACAAGTATGCAGGTAGAAAGGGTACTGCCTGCTGGCTGTCACCTTTGAGCAAGAAGGTAATGGGAACAATATATACTTATTCCATTCCACACAGAACACAGCATAGTGTGGGAATTAGATGCAAATAGGATCAAGTTGAAATTGGCAACGCTTTTCCATGCTCATTCCCTTTCCAGATGGTGGCCAGCCTATCTGGATGTGAGGCCATGGACTCAGAGGGCCTGGTGCGCTGTCTGAGAGGCAAGAGTGAAGCAGAGATTCTGGTCATTAACAAGGTGGGAGAACTGAGTGTCTGGAAGAACCTGGTCTACAAATACCTCATCCTTATGGCTCTGTGTTCTTTCAGTTCTGTGTGCAAAATGAATTCCAGATAGGCTGATGTAAATGTAGTTTCTCCTCCAGAGTGAGCAAAGCACCCCGGACTAGTAAGAAATGAGAAAATGATGGCATAACTCAGTGGACATCAGGATGTTTATTCCATTAACCTTCTGAATTGCTGTTTAATGTTCCTCAGGACTTGATAATGATCCCTGCTGTGGTGGATGGGGAGTTCCTACCTAGGCATCCCCAAGAGTTGTTGGCTTCTGTGGATTTTCACCCTGTCCCCAGCATCGTTGGTTTCAACAATGATGAGTATGGTTGGATCATCCCCAAGGTGAGTCTCACTTCCAAATCTCTAGGAACCTGGAGAGCCATATGCTAAGCAGTGGAAACTCAATACATCTTTAACCCAGGTCCATCAGATCTCACACTTAATCCTGTCTTCTGCTTCCAGGTCATAGGCTCTGTTCAGACAATAAAGGAAATGACCAGAGAGAACCTGCAGGCTGTTCTGAAGAATACAGCAGCACAAATGGTGAGATACCTCTGGACTTGTCCAAATAGAGGGGTCCCTCATATATTCTTTTCAGACAACAACCCTATTTATAAAGGTCAGTACATATGTGTGATTCTGTTTGGGGTCACCTCAGAGCATGAACGTTTTTGCCTATACCCTATCTCATCCCAGGCCCTATTCTCCCCACACCCAAGTCTGTTACCTACTTATCCAATAGCATGCCTAAGCCCATGCTTCCTGGTTTCCTTGGTGTAGATGCTGCCTCCTGAGTGCAGTGACCTGCTGATGGAAGAGTACATGGGAGACACTGAAGATCCCCAAGCTCTACAAATACAGTTCACAGAGATGATGGGAGACTTCATGTTTGTGATCCCTGCACTCCAAGTAGCACATTTTCAGCGTGAGTACATCTGTCACAGGCTTCGGGGAGCATCTCAGGGATGTGGGTCATGGGGAGCACTGTGGTATCCAGGTCTCCTCATGTCTAATTTAAAAGGGTGAAATGCAGACACATAGGAGAAAATGGGTTGCTGATACTCTATTGACTTAACAAAACTACTTAGCTGGGAAGGTCACAGGCACTGTTTAGCCAAGGGCTTTTCCAAAGCTAGCACTCCAACCTGGAACTCCTTCTCCCATTTAACTTTTATAGCTATGGGTAACATTATATCATGGTATAATAATCACCAAATATGTGTCAAAAAAGCTCCAGGTGAGGTACCGCTAAATCAACATTTGTCCCCACCTCCAGGCTCTCATGCCCCCGTCTACTTTTATGAGTTCCAACATCAATCCAGTTTCCTAAAGAATATCAGGCCACCCCACGTGAAGGCTGACCACGGGGATGAGGTTCCTTTTGTCTTTGGGTCCTTCTTCTGGGGCATGAAATGTGAGTCTTCTTTATTTTCCTTGAGCTAAATGAGATCCGTAGCTCTCAGTCCATTTGAGAAATCCTATAGTTGTGTGTGTGTGTGTGTGTGTGTGTGTGTGTGTGTGTGTGTATCCAGTTTAGAATATGGACCCTTTCCAGTATAGTCTGTAATGGAGGACCTGACATCACATTGGGGCAGGAACTCAATTAGAGGCATGCATTGATCTTGGCTACTCTATATAGTGAAGAAGGGGGGAAACAAAGCCAATAGTGTGGGTTCAGACAACAGGTGGGATGGTGAGTGTGACGAGTGAGTTGGCAGTTGTGTAAGGAGGCATATACTTGGACCTTTGTCTTTCTCATGACTCCAGTTAACATAACCAAGGAGGAGGAGCTGCTGAACAGGAGGATGATGAAGTACTGGGCCAACTTTGCAAGACATGGGTGAGAACACACTTTTCTCAACCTTACACGTGTGGGTCCCTCTCTAGGACTCCTTTTTGGATGGTCGCCTTCTAGCATACATGGATCTTCCATTGCATGATAGTCTTCTCTACCTAATAGCAATTGGCTATAGTGTTTGTGGTACTGTTCTTTAGATACTGCCTCTTACAGAAAGACATAAAACAGGTCAGGAGTCTTCCCCCATATGATATAGAAACTAGTAAGTGACATTTGTATCCCCATATCAGGACACCTGTCCCATCAGCCCCCTTAACCACCAGCCTAATTGTTTCAATGTCTTGACCAAAATCAGAGGAACAGGCTTTGAACCAGAGTGAACTCATTTTTGTTTGCTTGGTGGCATATCCACAGGAACCCCAACAGCGAGGGTCTACCCTACTGGCCTGTGTTTGACCATGAGGAGCAGTACCTACAACTGGACATCCAACCTGCTGTGGGCCAAGCCCTGAAGACTGGAAGGCTAAAGTTCTGGACCAAGACTCTGCCCCAGAAGATCCAGGAGCTAAAGAGATCTCAGACCATGCACAAAGAGCTTTAGTGCCCTGTGTGAGGAATGGTGTGTGGGAAAGAGTCTGCTTCAGGCTCCCAAATCATATTGAGGAGCCTGGGTTGATTCTAACATTCACATACCCTCTGCACTTTTCTGTTCTTCTACATTTATCACAAATCCTCTGCATGTGACTCCTCTCCTGCTGAATCATCTTTTGTTAGACCACTTGGTAAGTGTTCCCATAGCAGTGTGGATTTGTGAGCCCCTAAGTGGCCCAACCCATTTCACAATCAATTGGGACTAGGACCTTTCCTTTTTTTTCCTCACCTCATCTCTCATTCTCACTGTCCTCTTCTCTATGACCAAAACTCTCTTTAACTAAAGCAGAAGCTTTGGAGAACATTGATATGGGTTCTTTAGAGAACCTATTTGACATGGGTAGACTGTGTAAAAATCACATGCCCTTTCTCATCAAGTTCATACTTTTGGAGACCATTAATTCCAAGATTAAGATATTGCTCTCTGACTCAAAGATGATACCTTGTGTTTTCACTGAGTACATGGGATAATTAAAAGTTCTCATGACCCAGGCCTCCAATATGTCTCACTCTTAGTATCATCACACTGGAGCTTAACGTTCAATACAGAAGTATGATTCATAGATATTTTCAAAACATAGCACATAGAGGTTCCTAAGTTAGTCATTTGAAAACATCTGAAAGTGTCTCTGTCTACTATGTTTATAAATTAAATTTTACTAACAATTTATTTTAAGATAATCTGTCCATTTTCCATTATTGATTTCTTTTCCCCCTTCCCATAATCCATCCCCATTCATTTATTTCTGTCCCAAAGTAGTCAGTGCCACAATTTTATATGAGAAGTAGTTTTAAGTATCTATGATCCCCCCAAGCCTAGGATAGTTTGTGTATGTGTGTGTGTGTGTATCTGTATGTGTATCTATGTGTGTCCAGAAGAACTAGGTTGGAACTTTGTATCTGCTGAGGTTTGTCCCTACTTCCAAGGGTCTGTGTGCATGATAAAGCCCATATGTGCACGAGCACAGCCCATCTGTGTGGATGTTTGACTATACGGTGAGTCCTAGTAGCAGGGTGAGGGGTCAGAAGGTCCATACATGTACAGTAGAGATTGTTGTCCCCTACCTGCATGTGTGCTTGTTCAAGTATATGGCTGTCCTCCTGACTTCCCCAGTTCCGCTGCAACCTCCTGGCCCCTGTGATAACCCCCCTTGCCTTGATTGTCCGTATACATGACTTTCATTTTTACATGTTTACTGTGACTAGACATTTTTGGTCTTTCTCATAAATACCATATCTTTTATTTTATATCATTATTAAAAGTTGTCAAATTGTTCTCAAGCTACCTGAATTCTCCCAAGCAATGTTGTCCTGTCATTAATTTTGTCCTGATCTTTCATATGAGAAACCCTGTGATATGTCATATCCCCTTGCCTCTGATCAGCTTGCCCTACAAGCCACGTTTTCCCAGATTGGCAAAGTCCCCCTTTTAAAACTGAAACCACTAGACAACATGACCTTTGGGATCACAGTGAATATTACTGCTTGCCCATCCTGGACACCAGGGGCAGAGAAGGATAATCTGTAGAAGGCTGGTGCTGGATTCTCCCACTGGGGCCTGAGCTCATTATTGGGCTCCTGCTGCCAATGATTAAGAAACACCAGGCTTCTCAGGTAACACAAGGAATCTAGTTCCATGTCCTTGTTCATAGAAGAGCTGGGACAGTGCATCTCCCAAATTCCAGCTGTTCCTTCAGTGGGGAAGTTGAGAGGAGAGTGAACATCTCCCTAGGCCGGGACTGAGAGCACAGAGACTTTGAAGGGGAGACACTCACTTGACATCATGCCTTGCTGACTCAGAGAGTCAGACACAGTCATGGTTGTACCATGCCAGTGGAAACACTTTGAGAAAAGCACTGAGGAGGAAGGCCTGTTGTGCCAGGCTGAGGGTGCTGTCGATTACTGAGGGCTGGACAGAAAGAGACTGGTTCTCAGGTGGAACTGGTAAATGTCTGAAGTAGAGATGCACAGTCTCCTCCATGAAGCCTGGCTTAGCCACTTGGGAGCTCCTGACTGTACTCTTTGGTGAATCCCAACAAGGTTCCCTGGGTTGTGAAGCTCCTGTTTATGGCCCAGGATCTCAGCCTTACCATAGGCTCTGAGCGTCCATAGAGTCCCAGTGATGGAACCAACAGTGCCTAAAAATGCTTGTCCGGTGAATAAATGACTCTGAACTTGCTCTCAGAGGAGTTTTTCACCATACTAGCCATGGCATAGAGGAGAAATGGATTGGGGATGGGCACTTAACGAGTGCCACACATAAACAAACAGAGTACCATCCAAATTAAAAGATGTCGTAGATCGGGTGGAGTAAATAGACACCTACAGAACATCCCATTTACATGCTACAAAATGCACATTCTTCTTGGAAGCCCATGAGAATTTTTTATAAAATAAATTGTGTGTTAGGACCCAAAACAATTTTTAGGAAATACAGGAAAATTGAAGTAATTACATCTATTTGATCACAATAAAAACTCTAACACCATGGTAAGAGAAACTATAGAACACATGATATCCTGTGGGGATTAGGCAACATGCTGCTGAATGATGAATGCACCAATGAAGAATTTAAGAAGAAAAAATTTGAATGTGTAGAATCAAATGAAAAGAAAAAAACAATAATGCAAGCCCTAGAGAACACACTTGAGGCAGCCCCAAACCCTAAAAGTCAAATGCCTGCCCCTTCTCTTCTATGGGATCCTCAACACATCTCCTTAGAGAAGCCAAAATCTGCAATTAGAACCTCCTGCTCCTGGCTTTCTAACACAAACCCAACATTTGGCCTGTGAGCATGAGGATCATAAACACGGTGACTCTAAACCAAGGGTAAGGGTTGCTGGTATCTAGAATGGCTTCAGAAGTCATGTTGTGCCTTCCGGCGGACCAAAGAGTGATCAAATTCAGCAGGTATGCCTTCCTCCACCTGGTAAATGCTGGCTCTGTCTAGTCAGTTCAGCTCTCCTGCAGCTGCCACTCTGCCCTGCCCCACCAATCTGCCTGTGGATATAAGTTCCTGCATGGACAAGGCCTACCATATCTTCCTGTTGGGAAACCTGGCACCTCCACTGCAACACAGACTCAGACCTAGGAGGAATCATGTCACTGGAACAGTTTCCTAAATATTGTGGCCTATGGGCTCTTGCTTTTCCTAAAAGTAATGTTCCTGTTGTTTATACTTTTAATGTTTATTGTTAACAATTTATTCATTTTACATCCATATCATAGTCCCTTCCATCATTTCCACCCTGTCCCACCCTCCCTCATTCTTTTCCCTTATTTACTTCCTTTTGTCCACTGAAAGGGGAAGTCCTCCCCTGCCATCTGACCATAGCTTATCAAGTGTCATCAGTGCTGTCTGGATCTTCTTACTCTGTGGCCTGGCAAAACAACACCTCCAGGGGGAAAAAATCAAGCAGCAGGCAACTGAGCTCATGTCAGATTAAGCCCTTGCTCTCCTTACTTGGAGACCTATATGGAAACTGAACTACCTATGGGTTACATCTGAGCAGGGCATCTAGTTTCCTTCACTGCAAGACCTTAATTGGTACATAAGTCTTTACTGGACCCCTATGTCCAATTTTTTTGGCTTTGTTGATCTCCTTGTAGAGCTCCTGTCCACTCCAGGCCCTTCTATCCCCAACCTCTTCTTCCATAAGACTCCTTATGTTCTGTCAAAGTTTGGCTGTGAGTCTCAGAATCTGCTTTGATCCCCTGTTGGGTGGAGACTTTCAGAGGACCTCTGGGATAGGCTCCATCCTGTTCTCTCTCTAACACAACTTCCGGTGTCTATCCCATTTGCTATTCTGAATGAGATTTAAGCATCCTCCCTCTTTATTGTTTAGCTTTTTTAGGTATGTAGATTTTAGTATGTTTATCCTATATAAAATGGCTAATACCCACTTAAAAGTGAGTATGCATGTTTTTCTGTTTCTGGATTATCTCATTCAGGATGATCTTTCCTCCTCTGTGTGCACACTATGACTCCATGTGGAGGAGATGGGGACTGGGGTCAGAAAGTCAGAGGCTGAGAAGGCCAGGGGCAGAGGAGAATGGAGCAGTAAGCTAGTCAAGATGACAGTTGACAGTGAGGGAAAATACACCATACAGTGGATACACCATACAGTGGATACACCAAAACCCCATGATCCCTATGGTACACAGAGATTCCGTGATGAGTGAAGATACTCGTCACCAAGAAGCCTTTCCAGTGGAGAGGCTTTCAGGAGCTGGATCTGCAAGTCAAAGGTACCAGGCACAAAGTTCGAAACAGGACGATGTGACATTTCCCTCTGTGTTTGGTTGAGGCTGTAGCTGTAACTGATCCTCAGACAATAATGAAACTAATAATGCCTTCAAAGCACCATTGAGCTCTAAGTGTCATCTCCTTAGCTATAGGAGCACCCTTGTGTCCTTCAGAGGGATCATGGTCAAGTTTCCTGGCCCTAGGGCACACAGTTCCTAGACTGGTATCCCACTGCTGAAATCAGAATTCATGTATTCTCTTACACACGAACCCCACCTTGGGCAAAGGAACACTTTTTTTTAATAGGGTAAAGGTTATGTTCTCTAGGCCTTTATCAGGAGGGTTGTGTCAGGAGGGTTGAGTCAATATTCATAGTGTAGGTTCAAGCCTTCATGTCTATCATTCCAGGTGTCTAAGTGTGAACTCTGATGACCTCCCACCTGAATTGCTAGTCTAATTCACCCTTGCCTTGCCTTGCCTTACCTTACCTTACCTTACCTTACCTTACCTTACCTTACCTTACCTTACCTTACCTTACCACACCACCTTACCCTGTGATCCTGGCATGCTGTTTTCCAGGCTCTTGGGAGAGTACCAAAACCTTCTAGGTAGGAAGACCTACCTTACTTACTGAACACTCTTTGCTGGGATGCCTGGGGTCAGAATCTAGCTGCAGGCCAGACTGGGCTACATAGTAAGAGCTTATCTCAGACTAACCAAATAAGTGAATAATAAAAATTAAATATCATGAGGAATTATAGGCATGAGTTTCTGGGGGGACAGGCTCAGGAGGCCTTCTCACCTGCCTGAGCTCTATGGGTAGTTAATGGGTGCAAGGGAAGAAAGAGACAGTTTCTTCAGTAGTATGGGCAATGATAATTTGCCCATACGCTTTTAAATAAACCTTCAAATGTCCTCCTGTTTAAAAAAAAAAAAAGATATAAAAACAAAAAAAAAAACCTAATTAAACTCATTGGATCTTTTAAAAGAAAATAAAAAAGATACAAAAGTAGGAAATAGGAAGAGAAATGTGAAAGGGGGAGAGGCACAAAAAAGAGTAACAAAATGAATATGATTATCACAAATATTACAGGCATCATAATAAAAAACTTTTAAAAAGCAAATCAAATCCAGAACAATTAACAAAAGTTTTTGTGAAGATTGCCTATGTAGAGACTATTCCTTTTACAGAGACTTTTTTTTTCCAGAGGAGGGTTTCTCTGTGTAACAAAGGCAGAGTTCCACCTGCCTTTGCCTCCCCAAATGCTGGGATTACAGGCATGTGCCACCATGCCCCGTTTCTCATCTTAACAAGAGTGTTAAAAAAAAATGCATTAGTCAGGCATGGTAGCCCATGCTTGCAAATAAAGCACTCAAGAGGCAGAAGCAGGCAGAGCTCCGTGAGTTCGAGGCCAGCCTGGTCTACAAAACAACTCTAAGACAGCCAGGGCTTGATACACAGAAAAACCCTATCTTGGGGGGAAAAAATGCATTGCATCATTCTGAGGCCTGAGCATGCATGATAGATGTACACCTACAAGGCTTTTCTATTTTCTTACATAAATGGATCAGAGCTGACAAACACTGCAGCCACAAACCTGATATCACTGAAAGTGAATGCCAGGGAGGTAAAGACTAATGGAGGTGACATACCCAGCAGGAGAAGGAAGGGCCTCATTGAACACTTCCCTACAGCCTCAACAGGGGAAGAGGCCAAGGTGCCTAAAGAGTGCATAGCACCCAGAGCAGGGCCTTTCCTGAGGTAAACGACAGCCAACAAACCCATGCACTCATCAGCCACATCCACCTAATATCAGGACTTGGAGGAGCTGGGTACGGGAGGATAATTAGGTGAGTTGCTATCATGACTTCCCTCTCTGGTCCCTAATGCAACAGCCTGGGCTTTTTGTGTTCTCTTAGCTCCTCTCACATTGCTCTTTGCACAAACAATGCTTTCTTGTCATTTCTGGTCATCTCTAGGTTGAGATTCCATAGGACACGATTTTTTTCAGTGGGACCCCATCATCTTTCTAGTAGCTTGCATG